TTTTTACTAAAGCTTTATGTTAAAGACTTTTGTTAAATACTTTTTATAAAAGCTTTATGTTAAAGACTTTTTGAGCAAACACGAAGATAAATATCTAATTAGCAAATTAATGGCGAGAGATATATTCGAAACGACGTGGGAAAATCATAGACAAGGAAATTTACGAGATAGATACGTCTGGTATCAATTATTCGCCGGTTAAATGGCTCGGAATGACCTGGCCAAGCGGTCAAGGTAACGTTTCGTAACTTCGGCTGTCTTAGCACCTGCATACCAATTACGAACAAAGTAACAACCGACGAGAAAGAACGGAGACGTCATCTTTTTTTCTCCTCTTTCTTTACGCGCTAACCTACTTTCGGAGCCTAGTCGAACCTCTGCTCTTTTAAGCTAATTAACCCATCGACAAGCTTGCGAAAGTCAGAGTGCTTGCTATTCTTGGACAAGTTAATGTCGCTTGAAAAATTCTACGCTTTTGTAATTAGTAAATGTGCCTTGCAACTCGTGTTTTCTCTCAACTTTTGTTTGGTGAATAAAGACGAGAGTTATTCGTTTTCCAAACGTGTTAACAATTGAAAATTACTTTTCGTGTGTTCATTTTTAGCTGTTGATCTTCTAAGGTTATAATGTTTCATTTTTCAATATCATTTTTAACTTGTCTTACTCTAACGAGTCTGACGCACTCATAAGACAAATGTGAACTTCGCTTGAATTTTGAGTATGTTTCAATTTGAAGTTTTCCAATTATAGTTTGCAAGAATCTCAGAATACAAGATAACATTTAGACTGCAGTTATTTGTTTTAATATTGTAATGAATAGTTCTGATGGACCTAACAAATAAATTGTACAGCAGGTTAATTTATAAGCCTTTACGTCCTCCATTTAAATCTTCACATGTATCTATCTTTTATATCACGAATTTGTTCCTTTAACCCAGTCGAAAATGCACGTACTAAATGCTTGAATCAATGATTAATAAATACGAGAAAATATTGTGAAAATATCTGGTAAGATATAGTAGTTAATCCTCCACAATTTCCTGCCTTTACGTCCTCCACATAAACGACATTTAAATCTTCACATGTATCAATCTTTTATATCCCGAATTTGTTCCTTTAACCCAGTCGAAAATGCACGTACTAAATGCTTGAATCTATAGCTAATAAACACAAGAAAATATTATGAAAATATCTGATAAAATATAGTAGTTAATCCTCCATATTTCCTGCCTTTACGAACGAATTAATTAATGTCATAACGAAAGCGAAGTTAATTCTCTAAGTCCGTTAAAGGTTTAAATCTTTACATATATCTATCTTTTATATCACGAATTTGTTCCTTTAACCCAGTCGAAAATGTACGTACTAAATGCTTGAATCTATAGCTAATAAACACAAGAAAATATTATGAAAATATCTGATAAAATATAGTAGTTAATCCTCCATATTTCCTGCCTTTACGAACGAATTAATTAATGTCATAACGAAAGCGAAGTTAATTCTCTAAGTCCGTTAAAGTACAGAGAAGAAACAGGGTGTTTGATCAAGACTCACCGGTATAAGTGCTCTTGAAACTTTCGTGAAGCTTGAAGGTGAAGGGAATGTGGACCTTCATCATCTCCATCTGAGGTATGCGCGGCGAATGTGTCATTACGCTTCCACTCCCTCCGAACATCAGTTCGTCGCCGTGAATACGAAGCACGATCATGTTCCTGCATAAAAAGAATTGTAGTTTTTCATTTAATCGAACCGTGTCAAGTACTGTCTGGTCGATTACCATCTATCGGCGATCGAGAAATTATTCCGATTAATTTGTACGAGTGTCACTCAACATCCTCGATGGAACTGATACAGCTCGAATAATATCTAATTTATAGCGATTAATAATAGCCTCTCGGTACGTATACAGGCATATTCCAGATTAATTAACGTACGCATTGTCGGTGGGTCATTAGTCATCCACGTTGCGGAATTGTAATTGATAATCAAAGTACAAATGAGCAGCATTTTAAACGTAGAGTGTTCTATTGGGAATTCAGTGTTTGCGGAGGAATTGAAATTACGAGTAATATAAGATATTGATGCTTGATGAATTGCGAAGGAGTGAAGGTGACTTATACGTAAATTATGGGAAATGATGCTGGAGGTTTTGGGGTAGGAGTATTTGGAGATTTTGGGATTTTGGGAATTAGGGGTTTGGTAATTTGGAAATTTAGATATTTGGGGGTTTAGAGATTTGGAGATGTAGGGATTTGGGGACGTGGGGATTTGGGGATGTGGGGATTTGGGGACCCAAATTTCCCAACTCCCAAACTTCAAATCCAAATAAAAATTTTGCTAAAATTTCAGCATCACTCCCCAGAGGACATAATTCCCAAAAAATTCATTCATTCATTAAAAGTTACTAAACAAATCAAACTTCGTGTACCACCGAAACAAGTCACAGCATCTGACAGCAATTGGTTGCTCGCATAAAAAAATAAAAAGCTCGCTGATCAAAAAATGAAGAAAGCACGAACGCGCACTCGAGATGTTCTCCATTATCCGCGCAACCGCAATATTTCACCGAAAGAATAAGTTGAACGTCAGTCCGCAACGCAACGAATGTAATATGAAAATGGACGAGTGCACGGAAGAAAATAATCACGCGAGATCTCGCGGGGCGAAGATTGATAAAGAAATTACAAAGTCAAGAAACATAGAGAAGAGCCATCGGAGATGCTATCATTTTTCATTACGCCGTGTCTCTGCTACAAAAATGGATGATTGATTTTTATACACGTGGGGGAGGGACACAGGGGGTGGCTACGCAACGCCTGTATCGATTTTCCATTAGGCCGAATGAACAGTGACTTGCAAAAATAATTGAATGCACGCGTTTCGAAAAAAGAGAAAAAATACACCGAGATTAATATGCAACGCGTGCGGCAATCAACAGGAGCGAAACAGTAATTTGAACGGGGCGTGAAAGCAAGAAATTAATATTTCATGCGCGGAGAAGCTTTAATGGCCGATCGGAGGACCTACTTAGAACACGCAACGATATATAGCCTTTCGAAAAATTAAACCACTCAATCGACCCGTATTTTATATACGCGTCTATTAATATTTATGACGAACGTATTTTTAACGATTAAATATCTTCCGCGGAGTGCGTTTAATAAACAAATGGAACAAATAGAGGTGGATGAAAACAAATTTTTATGGACGCTTTTATCGCGGGATTTATCTTTGGAGACCTGAGGATTTGGCGAACTGGGGATTTGGGATGTAGGAATTTGGGACGTGGGGAATTGGGGACGTGGAGATTGGGGACGTGGGGATTTAGGGACGTGGGGATTTTGGGACGTGGGGATTTGGGGATGTGGGGATTCGGGGACGTGAGGATTTGGGAATCTAGGGATTCGGGGACGTGGGGATTCGAGGTCGTGGAGATTCGGGGGCGTGGAAACTCGGGGATGTGGAAACTCGGGGAAGTGGGGATTCGGAGACGTGGGGATTCGGGAGCGTAGGAATTTGGGAACGTGGGAATTTGGGGACGTAAGTATTTGGAGATGTGGGAATTGGGGGACGTAGGGATTTGGGGGTGTAGGAGTTTGAGGATGTAGGAGCTTGTGGACGCAGGAGTTTGGGAATGTATGTACCTGGGAATATATAGATTTAGGATGTAGGAATTTGGGAATTCAGCTATCTGTGGGCCTACAAGTATAGATATATAAAGACTTGAAAATTTAGCTATTTGTGGGTCTAGAAGCTTAGAGATACAAGATCTTGAGTATGTATGAACTTGTGTATGTACGGATTTAAGGATGTATAGACTTACGATGTTATTATTTCAAGATTTAGCTACTTATGATCTACCATTTTGGGAATGTAATGATTTCAGATTTATGGGAAGAAAATGTCTTTTCTTACCAGCCTCTTCCATCCAATAACATGCCACATCTTCCGTCCTAACACAGCTAAAGTAAGAAACGCAAAATGACTACCTACTAACAAAACTCCTAGCACCAGTTACTGCACAGTACGCTCCCAAACGCAAGATCCTCCTCCATCCTTCATCTCAGAAAACAGCCTACTACGTACATAACTATACATAACCTCTCGAAAGCAATTCGGGACAATTAGTCCCTGGAAATAACAGTATATCGTTTTTAATCGGCACAGAACCTAACGGGTTCAGAATTTATGCACGGTCTTTTCTTCCCGCGAGGTTACGATCAAAAGCCTCGTTAGTTAGCTCTAAGCGACGATTACGTAACGAGTACTCGTACGATCAGAGAAAGGAGAAGAATAATATCGCTTAGAGATGTTCAAGAACAGAAGCGTTTTCTGCTGTTTATAATATGTAAGACCTGATCAAACATTTTGACTCCCGAACGACCAAGAACTTCTAGACTCGTCCAGACGTTTCAATTTCGGTCCACGGCTTTCTCTTTTCAAACAAGCGAATCGCACGTTTCCCCCTAAGTGTGTTAACAGTTTATTGACACAGAAATCACCGTGTTCTATTGGGTCAGCTGCTAGTTTTCACGAAATGGATAAGACGAGCGCTTCGCGGAACGAGAATAAAAGTGCTCGTACGATGGTCGGAACTTTTCCATGGACGCAGTGAACAATTCGGGGACGTGGGGATTCGGGGACGTGGGGTTTCGGGGACGTGGGGATTCGGGGACGTGGGGATTTGGGGATCTAGGGATTCGGGGATCTAGGGATTCGGGGACGTGGAGACTCGGGGACATGGGGATTCGGGGACGTGGGGACTTGGGGACGTGGGGATTCGGGGACGTGGGGATTTGGGGATCTAGGAATTCGGGAACGTGGGGACTCGGGGACATGGGGATTCGGGGACGTGGGGACTTGGGGACGTGGGGATTCGGGGACGTGGGGATTTGGGGATCTAGGAATTCGGGAACGTGGGGACTCGGGGACATGGGGATTCGGGGACGTGGGGACTTGGGGACGTGGGGATTCGGGGACGTGGGGATTTGGGGATCTAGGAATTCGGGAACGTGGGGACTCGGGGACATGGGGATTCGGGGACGTGGGGACTTGGGGACGTGGGGATTCGGGGACGTGGGGATTTGGGGATCTAGGAATTCGGGAACGTGGGGACTCGGGGACATGGGGATTCGGGGACGTGGGGACTTGGGGACGTGGGGATTCGGGGACGTGGGGATTTGGGGATCTAGGAATTCGGGAACGTGGGGACTCGGGGACATGGGGATTCGGGGACGTGGGGACTTGGGGACGTGGGGATTCGGGGACGTGGGGATTTGGGGATCTAGGAATTCGGGAACGTGGGGACTCGGGGACATGGGGATTCGGGGACGTGGGGACTCGGGGACGTGGGGATTCGGGGACGTGGGG